GGCACCTGCGCGGCCCGCCCGCCAGCGCCGCCTGCCGCGGACACGCGTGTCCTCCCGCGGGGGCTCCGCGCCACACGCGGCGCTTTTCCACCGGGGGACTCAGGGAAGCCCGAAGGGCGACGCGGGCTCTGCCCCTGCGCGCTGCACCCCGGGGTAGAAGCACCCCCGCGCTAAACCCCCTTTGCGTTTGTCCAGCCCGGCACCAGCACAGGCGTTTTCTCCTCTATATTTATATGTACACGTTACATGCCGCGCACCCAGCCAGGCTCACGCATGTAAGGGGACGTCTCTGCGTGTTTCTGCCCTGACAGAGGTGCGGAGGCCGCTGCCCCCGCAGTCCCTGCTTGCTGGAAGTTAGGTGCGGAGGCCGCTGCCCTCGCAGTCTCTGCTTGCTGGAAGTTGAGCTGCTCGGCATGGGGTGCGAAGCGGCCGCAGGCGCCACTTGCTCCCTCTGCCCTGGGGACACATTGGGTTGCTGCACCTTTAGGAAAGACACAGACACAGAATTGGTGGTGATTGCCACATCACCATTAGCTCAACAGAGGCTCACTGGAAAATTATTCCTTTTTTTTTAATCTCTCTCTCTCTCTCTTTTAAAAACCCCAAAGTGCCCTTGCCCCGCTCAGAATGCAAGCCCTTACGGTCCAAGGCTCACCTAGAGCACCCTCGTGGCACACGCACGACGGCTGCTCCGCTGCCGCACTCAGGCACTCGCTCCGTAGCCGAACCCGCTCCGACCGGGCTGCGCGTCTGGGCTGTTCACTTCGGTAGAGCCCAACAAGAAATGGTTCAAACCATGGTTCCTTTATGCTTATTTTCCTTGGGTTATGGAAATAATCTTCAAAGAGATTTACTTCTCACTTTATCTACCTACATGACAAAGCGTACAGGAGTTTTTAACATGCCAATTTCAAGAGCAAAATCCCAGCCCTGCTGAAGGCAATGGGAGTTTTGCTGCTGATGGCCGTGAGATAGGAATTCATCCAAAGACACGAAGCAATGCAGGAAAGCGGGCATGAAAGCGCATTGCCAGGGCCAACACTGTATCAGTGCTTTAAAACATCTCTTTGCCAATCACAAAGTCAGTATTTATTTGATCTTAAGGGTTTAACCTTATATCTCCCCATTATCATTTTAATGCTTCCTCAGTATTGAAATAGGCCTGACAATTCATAGCCAACCTTTGCCTAATTCTTCTTCTGGCAAAACACTCGCTCAGGTTGGTGCTGTGTCCTTCCGTGAGGACTGCAGGATCCAGCCCATAGGAAGGCAGGAGGCCCGAATAAGCTCGAATGAGGATTTATTCCAAACTTGTATCAAACCTAATGAAGCTCAAAACAAAACAAAAACCAGCTTTGCCCAGGGATGTGCCTCACTGCCTCACCGACTGTCTGGCAGCCAATATGAACATGCAGGACTTGGCTCCTTCAAAGATTTGCTTGAGAGAAGAAAGGAAGGAAGGAAATAAAGAAAGAAAGGAAGAAAGACCACAGAAACACCCCCAAACTTCATATGCCAAATACACGTTTTTTGACATTTCAAAATGCCATTTTCGGTAAAAATAACGCACACAGTATTGCTGCAAAGGGCTAAATACATGTGGTTCTGAGGGTGCTTAAAACAAGCTGTATATAAACTCTCCCATTGGCAAAGCAACTTTCTGAAGCTTTCACTGGTGAAACAACCTGCAGGTCTCCCTGGGACTGCTCTGCCACCCTTTCGCAAGGGAAGGAAACCAGCTGAGGATGCCGAGGATGAGCAGGAGAGATTAGAAGACTAAGGGCACAGGCAGAACTGCCACCAAGAGCAGACACCGAGCCCTGTATCATGAGACATGCCTGGTACTGGAGCAAACGGACTTCCCAATATTTCTAATACATAGAGGGTATCCTTCACCAATTTCCAGTAATTTGTATTTTTCAGTATTTATATTGGAAAACAAACTCTTAATATTTGTATAGTCCAGGTTACCCTTTTGATAAGATTCTTGCATTTTCTCCTCACTTAGTTGACGCATTACTGGACACTTTGCTTTGGACCCAGGAGTTCTCCATGGCACGGAGAACTTTCCAGGAAAGATGCAGAGTTGGCCACGTTTTGTAGCACGTGCCCTTGGAAACCAGCTGATGAGAGATGCCTCTTTTCCATCTTTTGCTTGTGGTTTAGAGTGTATCAAAGCTCATATAAAACTCATTATAAAGATATTTCCTAAGCAAAGCCCTCTGCAGCATAGCCCAATAAACCAGGAATGGCACCACTGCAGCAGAAATGTGAGGCCAGGCATAGGATTCAGTGAGAACACTGAATCGCTTCCAAATTTGACCTTCATTTGACAAGCTGTAACATAAAACCAGCTTGGTTTTCTCCACAGGAGTCTCACCCAGCTGTAAAGGGCCTCAAGCCAGCATGTTCTGTATGCCTTTTCTAGCTACAAGAAAATATTTTTACAGTATTCACAATATTTACAAATAACTTGTCCTTTAATTTAGCTGAGCGGTATAAGAAGACCGGGACATGTTTCCACAGTACATCATCCATCTTCAGTGCACCTGATCGTCCATGCACACACAATCTTAAAAATATGAAGCTCCCACACATGGGATCATATGTGCTAAATATAGCACTCCTTTGAAGTCCAAACTCCTCCTCAGCTCCCATTCGTTTAGGCACGGAAACATGGAATTATAGATCTATGTTTTGATAAAACTCACATAATTTTATTATAAAATTCTTCTTGTATGCATGGTGATATTTTCAGTTTTAGACAGTACAAGCACAAGAGCTAAGTGAATTTTAGAACCTGAGAAGATAAAAGCATCTATTCCAAAAACTGCAAAAAGGAGAATATGCTGAAGCAGCTTCTGCTGTCTTGGGTAGGAATAATTAACTTTCCGGTTTGCAGTGTAAGTAACCAGATAATGCTGTGTAATTGCCCATGATTTGCACTGCTTGAAATGGTATTGCTAATTTCCAGCAATGATTTAAATAATTTAAATAATTATCATCTGCACCATATCATGTGAGGACTTCAATTGCATGTGTCTCCACTGTGAAATTCCTAGAGGTGTTCTCAGCAGTCCTAGTTATTTGCAGGCTGTACCATACCTTGGCTGTTTCAGGGTCTGGGGTTAGTAACAGCACAAGGGAACATAGTAACACTGTATTTCAACCATTATCCTAGTCCCTAAGAATATTTTAAAGCAGAACTATCGAAAGAGTTGACCAAGTGTCCAGCTCGCAGGTCATAACCCATCCTTCACCACTGACTCAACGACTTCTTTTTCTTGGGTTTCTTTTCTCCCTTCTGTTCAATTTTTACCCTGATTTTTGCAGTCAGTCAGTCAGGAAGTCTATCTTCTACATTTTTAATCATAGCTTTATAAAATGTGACTATCAAATCCCTTCTGAAACTGTTCTACTGACAGTACTTCGGTTCACAGATTTTATTTTGTCCATATGCATGAGATCAGCATAGCTAGTATTTTTAAACGACCGAAAATGAACGTTCAGTCAATTCATTCAATGCTGAAGAGCTCTGAGATTCTCTGCATTTCATTCTGCTGCCACCCACATTACAGATGTCATCCTAAAACCATAAATAGCTCTTTGGATTTTTTGCTTTATTTGTACTATTTGCATGACAAACCTTAATGTCATTGATGCTGTATAAGAGACAGCAAAAAATCCCACACCCATCTGCCAATTTTTTTAGCATTGATTGCCTGGCAGCAAAGCATGAGGGCTATATAGGCTATTGAGAAGCCTTTATGGTATAGGAGACGAAGACAGGCATTAGGAGGTTGGACAACGTTTGCCTTGATTCTTTAGAAATGATACAGGTTATCTCATTTAAATGCTGTAAGCAATAACACGGACTGTAGCATTCACAGGAGAGCACATTCTGGGAATCTGCCCTGATTCCAGCAGTCGGTGCTCGGCTCTCGATGGCACAGGAGCACCGCCACGCTTCCGTATGGATAAAGGAAGCCGAGATTACCCTACGTTTCAGGTGGTCCTTGTTCCTTCACCCCTAAAAACTCATCACAGAAGTGTTTTTCTATTATGCCTCACTCTTACAGCAAACAGTTTGCTGTTGAAATGTATCTAAATATCGTCAAATGGCAGATATTTTCAGTATTTTTTAGTGGGCAGAAGTATGGCCATGCTCTGGCATCTCCCTGCAATGCAAACTCTACCAACTGCCTGCACTGCTATTTCAGTAAGGGTCCTTCTTTTTTAGCACTTCAGCAAAAATATTCTTTCTGCATCCAGCTGTGTCATAGGAAACCTTACCCGGGAGATGGTGGCCAACGTTACAGCAGCACTTGTGGCCCTACAGCCACAGTCTTGGTGCTGTCCTGCCCTGCAGTCTTGCCCAGAAGCTACTAAACGCATTCCACTTATTTTCACAGTAGCTGTACTGAACTTATAGACGTACTGAAGGTTCGAGTCCGAACGGAAAAACAGTCAAGCAGGTGAGATGGGATGAGACACATGCATAAAATAAAAATATTGATCTAAATACCCTATGGAAAAGTACATCTAAGATTGCAGCTTGAGGTTTTTGAGTGTGGAAGCATTTCCAGACACCTGATGTGGCCCTAAGAAGTTTTCTCCTAAATACGGTATTTTTCTCTCATCATGAAAAAAACAGTCCGTATAGATCGCATCTCCCCAGATGAGATATATGATGATTCCTGGCATGAAGAATGAATTGCCTCTTCTGCTACTGATAACATCATCTGAAGAGCTCTTTTAAAGTAACTGCCAAACCAAGCTTGTTTTTCACTGATTTTATAATCTGCATATGAAAGAGTTGATCTGGAAGGAACCTCAGCCTGGCTCCCTGATACGCTCCCTCAGGTCGAAATGTGGAAGGATTATGCACGTAGGCCACAATTTGGTATGCACTCGGGAACGTGCAAGGAGGGTATCTGCAATGATTTCAGTGGAGTTTTTCCAAATTGGCATTCACTGGTGGGAGGACAAATTTAGTCCACATTTTTGTCAGAAAAACAATTGCAAACAAAAAAAATGCAATTGAATTAATATGCAATTATTCTTAGTCACAAAATGCAGGAACCATAAACTCTTCAATTGAAGCTATTTAGATTTCAAATTGGGGTGAAGGAGTCTCTGCCTTGACTTGGCTAGAATGGCATTTTTAGGTAACTGCAGAGTTTTCTCTCCAGCTCCAGCATCCTTCCTTCTTGCTCCCACCATTAGTTGTCTTTGTTCCAGAATATTAAATATCCAATCAACCCATTAGTGGCAATTTTCTCTTCTTCTTTTCCAATATTATGAGAGCCAGTAGGTCCAGCATGACAGCTGAACACGTGCCAAGGCACAAATCAGACCTCCTCTTGCTCCTAGAGTTACAGTCACCCTTGGTGGGGAGTCTCGGGTGGCCAGATCCCGTCTGGCAGCACTGAGTACCCCAGGACTGAGCCCTCCAGCTGCATCCGCCGGCTCTTGGCTTTGCTGCGACAGGGACATCGGGTCACTCCTGCTCCTGGGGAGCCAGCAAAGCGGGGCTTCGGTTCACCACAAGTGATCTTCCAATCTGCTTTTTCTTGGGAGATGATGTGAAAGCTTGTCTAAGAGACTAAGAAACTCCCAGGTCGACATTTCAGCTCAGAACAGAAATGTTACAATTTTAACATCTGCAGAGATGCAACAGTATGGATTAAAAAAAAAAAAAAAAAGAGAGAGAGAGAGAGGGAGACCCTCCTTCAGCTGTTTCTTATTCTGAATAAAATCAATTTGAGCGTATATACATAACATACCAATAGTAGTTGTTTCAAAATTGCCTTAGAAGTTAAGTCCTTGTTATTATCAAGGATTAAATCTTGTCCCCCTGGAAGCTGATGAAAAAACTTCTTACTGACATCACTGGTTCAGGATTTTACTTCAGAAACAACCGTTCCTATTTTAATTCCACATTTCCAACAATTTGCTGTAATAAAGCAGCGACCGAAATGTTCACTGTGCAGTCTGAACAAAGCTCCTATAGCTCTGAAAAACTCTTACCCATACAGAAACAGCTTTTTTTTTTTTTTTTTTTTTTTTTTAAGTAAAAGTCAAGAACTATTTGGGTAGAGCAAAGTAACTGCCTAAAAGCAAACAATGATGCCGTCATTTCCTAATGGCACTAATTATTTGTGATTCTACACAAATTACTGTAATTCTCTCTGCGATTTCTTCCCCACACAGGTGCTTTAATGCAACCAGCACAGCCACGGCAGGTAGCTGGTGTTACACATGGGTGCTCCATGCCCCTGCATCGCTGCACAGCATCCTTCTTCTTACAAAATGCATATGACACTTGGTCTCTGTGGTCTCTAACCATAATCCCTTTTCTCCTCTTTCTCTGCTCCCTGCAACAGCGCACCATTGAAATATTGAAATATTGAAATATTGAAACATTGAAAATAAACCTCATTTTCTGAATGCAGTAGACAGCACATGCAATGGCTTTTACAGGAGATGAAAAAGGTAAAAAAGCACTTTAAATATAAATTATTCAGAAATACATCATACAAAATAAAATGTGAGCATGAAGAAGGCAGAAACTGATGCTGCAGCATCCCACAATGCAATGATAGGGCATAAATATAATGCAAAACTTTTGCTACCCTGCAACAGTGAAGGGAAATGGGGTCTGAAGGGGAAAATCAGCAGAAATGAATTTGTGAGGAAGGTGGAAAGGCAGGGAAGTTCTCTTTTTCTAAGTATTTACCAAATGAGCTCTAGGCTTAATTACCTAATGCATTCTAGAAACTACTACACTAAGCAGACTTGATAAAAGTAAAAATCCTGGTATCAAAATATCATCAATAAGCTTCTGATGTCAACCAGAATAGCATATTAAACCACAAGGACTTGCTCCAAGAGCTGTCTGATTTTAAAGACTTTTGCATCAGATCGAATGAGCTACTTCATTATTAAACTGTTCAAAGAACATAAACATGAAAATGCTTTTTAGACCTGTTTTGCCTATGAAAGGGTTGGCATCACATCCATTGCTGTCTTATGTGTCCATAAGAGAAAACGTCCTTCTTGCCTATAAATAAAAAGATATCAAATTAGTTAAATAGACTTTTTGTTCAGGAATATAGAGATTCTAAACAACTGCAACAGCTAAGCAATGTGTGATTGCAAGAGAGATGTATGCCAGTGTGCCTCTGTGAAAACCTGTGGATTCTGTTATATCATTCTGGCATTGATACATCAGGGGGTTCATTTTACATTGCTACATCTCCCTTAGATTAGATCTTTTACCAGCATAAAACTGGCATAATACACTGGGTCAATCAGGCCCAATACATATATATTTTAATGCTAAAAAAAAAAAAAAAAATCTTACCAGCTGTGGGATGATTGTTTTAAGTAGAAAAATGTGTATTTCATAAGAGTTGTTTGCCACTTCTGCTCAGGATTGATAACACAACTTCTGCTGAATAACATCCAAATCTTAGATACTGGTTCAGCCAAAAGTCATCTCTTAAAATCAGCTCTGCCAAGGGCTGAAAGGACTGAAATCATTACGGGTTAGGAAAAAAAAAAAGCTCATAAATCCAGTTGCTGTGGCTGGGCCTCATTTCCTCTACTGGCCACAGCCACCTCCATGTTCCCTGCACTGGTGGCAGGGCTCATGCAACGTGACAAGCTGCTTCACAGAATTGTTCCAGCAGGAAAAAAAAGCATCAGAGAAGTCAATAGGGTTTGACCAACCTTCTCCATGAGCTGCAGGATGGCATGAGCACACGCGTCCCCGTGCGAGGGCAAGCACAGGGACTGCGAGTGCCACGTCACGAGACGCACGGGGACAGGGACATCTGCTGCGACTGTGGTTCGTCTGTATTTTCCATAAATTAGTATCACGTGGGGACAGCACAGCCCCCATGATCTCGTAGCTATGGAGCATTGTGCTTACCTGAGCAACTGCTACCAAAGAGGTTTCTGTAACCACACAGTAGTTTTTCTCACTGATGGTCATAGGAAAAAAAAAGGTTCATTTTATTCTAATTTTATATTTAACATTTTTAATTATTTTTATTATTATTTCCCAGTAACACTCAGCTTTGTGATGTGTAGGGTTGCCATGGCAGAGCTACAGCAAGATTTCCCTGTGCTCTCGTATTCTCCTTAGGTGAAGCTTCAGCTGACCTCAAGGCAGATACAAATCAGATAAGAAAACTCAGAACACAAAAAACAAAGGCAAAGCAGTTTGATCCAGAAATGCCATTGATATATCTGGGCCTTATTAAAGCATTTGACACAGCGCCTCAGAAAAAAAAATACTTGAAAAAAAAATTAATTCAAATTTGCTTGAATCTAAGCACTTTCACATGCCTTGAAAATTAATTGAAAGTTGCAGGGCAATGAAAATGGCAATGCTATTAAGCGGAAGGATGGCGTCTAGGATAGTTTCACATACCTCCATGTTAAAGATCTCCAGAAACAACAATGAACTAATTAAATGGGAAGGCAACAGTAAACTGGGAATTTATGAAATGCTATCGGAAAAAAAAAAGACAGAAAGAAACATTAAAGAATTTAAGAGGAAATAAGATGAGATTCAGTGTTTAAAAAAAAAAAAAAAAAAACACCACCAAAGGAAGATAAGAGAGGTAGATGAAAACAGCCCAGATGCATGAGGGATGCACTGTGGCAAAAGTCATTTTCTGCTTTGAAGCTAGCTTTTTAATAGATTTTCAAACATGTTCTTCAATAAACTATAAATAGGATGTGGCCCCTGTACAGAGAATACTCTTGCTTCCTCCATGTGACTTCAGTCCACTGTTGCAGCTTATGCTGGGCTGACTGACTTTGAACAAGTCATTTCTTGGCCCAAATTTATCATTCAAGCCTTTGTGGACAGTACTCAAAGCTGCCCTCATAACTCAGCAAAACAGGCCTGGCTGTCTTTCCAAAAAAATCAGTCCCTTACACAAGCAACAGTTTCCCCAATGTGCTCAGCTCCAAGCACAGAAATGCAGGAGGGAAAATTAAATAAATAAAAATGAGGCCTACACAGAGAGGCCAAGGACGGCTCCAGGGCAGAGAGGGAACCTTCCCACGCAGCCCCACACCACCCCCATGCAGTGGGGATGGGGACAGAGGTGGCTTCCCTGCGCCGCGATCTTAGCAGTGCACCGGGGCCACCAGCGTCACTGAAACAGTGCCCCGCTTGCCTGCAGCTTCCCTGTGGCAGGTGCATTCCCAGAACTATATAAAGAAATAATCACTCCTGTGGCCTGCGATACATGGGAAGGATAATTGCATCATCCCCGATGTACATGATGCAGCGAAATAGAATTTGATGGAGTGAAACCTATCAGATCGCTTCCCATAGGAGTGCTGGGAAGCCTGATCGCTCGCGTTGTTTTGAATAACGGAGGACAAAAGCTCTCGGCACTAGAATGCAATAGAGACATACACACCTCAGCCGCTATTACCATCCCCGGTTTCCCGGGGAATTGCATCATCCCCGATGTACATGATGCAGCGAAATAGAATTTGATGGAGTGAAACCTATCAGATCGCTTCCCATAGGAGTGCTGGGAAGCCTGATCGCTCGCGTTGTTTTGAATAACGGAGGACAAAAGCTCTCGGCACTAGAATGCAATAGAGACATACACACCTCAGCCGCTATTACCATCCCCGGTTTCCCGGGGAAAAATAAATAGATAAATAGATAGATAAATAAATAAATAAATAAAATGTCCCTTTGTTTTTGCATCTCTTAGGTC